ATGAATTTGTTGCTCTTTCAAGTTATTAAAGGTAACACTTGAGAATCGGAGGTTGCTATAAGAAAACTTTTGTAACAAAAGTTGTAGCAAATTTTATTGTTAACACTATTGCTCTCTTGCACTTTAGCTCTTAAATTTGCACTTTTGCTCTTAGATACATCAATATCGAGGTAGATACAAAAATATGAAAATTTGATAAATTTGTTGCTTTTTCAAGTTATTAAAGGTAACCCTTAGGAATCCCAACATGTTACAAAAAAACTTTTAGCACAAAAGTTGTAGCAAATTTTATTGTTAACACTATTGCTCTCTTGCACTTTAGCTCTTAAATGCGTCAATATCGAGAAAAATACGAAAATATGAAAATTTGATGAATTTGTTGATTTTCAAATTATTATTTATTTAAGCATTAAGTGTTTAAATAAGTTTAATCTTTTGCCACCTCCTGATAAGTTTATCCCACAGATAAATTGGCGCTCTTAGGCAATGAGAGCAATATATGTTAAAAATTATGAATTTTATCTTGAAAAAACTTTAAATTCATACTTTTTCCATTTATTTGGAAAATGCACATACTTTACCTCTTCAAAATAAAGTATTGATATAAACCGGTATAGAAATACCTATATTTAAATTTCGCGCTTTAACCTAATTAGTTCCCTCACATTCCCCTTGGGAGCGCTGAATGTACCAAAAAATAGTGGGGGATGACCTTCTATGTACATAATATATACAGGTGAGTCAGAAAGAATGGTAAATCCGAATACCGGAGACACTAGACACCAAAATATGACGATTTAACCTGACATGTCTTATACAAATCGGTTGGTGGTTTTTAATACACAGGGTGTTCAAAGTTAAATTTTTATTTCAAAGCTTCTTGATAATTTTGAAGGTTTTTGTGCTATTAACATAAAATTTGGTAGTTAGATGCTTTCGAGCATGAAAAATACGAATTTGATATTTCTTTTGTAATTACTCGTAGAGATTCTTTCTGACTCCCCCTGTATAAATTTTTCTATGGAGTTTAGTTATGACGCGTACTGTATATACCAACGATCTTATTGCAACTATGCAACCAATAACGCGATTTGCGTATTGCAATATGAATACTGTGATATTGGTTGCATACTTTCATAAAAATATTAAACTTAATTAATCAAAACCATTCGAATTAAATTAAATTGTCATTGTTATATTGTTAAACGTCATTTCTAAAATAATTTTTATACAAAATCATGTAAATTCTTTGTCGAATAATTGAAATAATGGGAAAGAAGAAAAATAAAGGGGCAGTTGATTTAAAAAATGATCCTAACATTTGTGTTGCAACTGGCGAATTTACTCTTCCAAACGGTGATAAATACAGCGGTGAATATTGCGCTCACCGAGCCGGCATAATTTGGCGTCAAGGAAAAGGAGTTTACACATCGCACGAGGGACAAACTTACGAAGGAAATTGGGTTGACGATAAATTACAAGACAACACCGAATGCGTCATAACTTTTCCAACGGGGGAAGTTTTTCACGGAAGGTTATTAAAAAATAAATACACCGGACCTGGAATTTATACGTTAAGCAACGGTTTAGATTTGAGTTGCGAATTTCGCTTAAACAAACCAATAGAAGAACTTGTTATAATTGATGGTCTTGGAAAATTATGGAGAGGAAACGCCGAGAATGAGAAAGCAGTTTTACTCCCGGAAAACGTTTTTTATTTAACAATTTCAAACCAGCAAGGAATCGGAGTCATAAAAGACGAATTTTTAGAAAATCTAAACGAAGAAATGATTGGGGAAGGAGAAGAAGAAGAGGAAGAGTACTCAGACGAATATTGGAGAAATTTAATTTTCGCGAAAAATCACTTCATTAAAAACGACGTCAAATTCGGCGATTCAAAATGGTTCAAAGATTACGAAAAGTTTCAAAAAAGAAAAAAAGAAATTGAAGACAAATTCAAAAAAAATAAACCATTTAGTTGCAGAGATCAATTATGGTTGGTAAAATTCCTCGACTTTAAAGATCAATTACAACAAAAAAGATTTGAAAACGAATTTAAAAAATGGAAATCAGAAATCGAAGCTTTTGATTTAAATCGGAAATTTCGCAGCAAAGAATTTTTAAACAGTTGCCCAGAAGTTAAAGTTATCCGCCCGAGCTTCCAAACCGAAAGCGGCGAAGAAAGCTCAAAATCGACACCTTCAGAATCGATTAATAAAGAAATCGAAAAACCACCCCAAAAACCAAAAAAATCAAACTTAATCATGCCGGAACTTGAAAAATTTGCCCAAACTTTAGAAAGATTACCAAGCGATGACTCAATTCCCACCGAAAACTTACCCAAAAAGCACGAAGACATTGATTTACATTTTACGAACGAAAGACCAAACAAAATTTTAATTCCCAGGATAAATTTAATAGTTCACGATAAACTTTTTGAAGAAGACGATGAAACTAAATGCATCATTGAAATTAAAAACACTTTAGAAGAAGCGAATCAAACCGAACTCGAAGAATACGAAGAAAACCTCGTTGAAGAAGAAACCCAACAAGAACAAGTAACAGAAGTGGTCGTCGAAGAATTAACCGAGCAACAAAAAAGGATTAATAAATATATCGCAGATAAAGTTAATGAATGGGAAGAAAACGACGTTCAAATTAAACAAACACTCAGTATGAAAAATATTCCTCACATGCATTCACTTGGGCATCATACGAATGAAATTAATGATATTCCAAATCGCGTTCTTATTGATTTATTCAAAAATAAAAAGGGGAAAAATAAAAAAAAATAAATAAAAATTAAATTGTTTATTGATATTAATAAGTTGTAACAGCAATAATAGATGTCGCTACTAAAACGTCAATTATGTTTTGATTAATATTCACTCGGATATCATACGATTAATATTAATGATGTCTTAAATCGAGTTTTTATTGATTTATTTAAAAATAAATAAATAAAAATTAAATCATTTATTAATATTAATAAGTTGTTTTAACAGCAACAGATCTCGCTACTAAAACGTCAAAATTATCTTTTTATATTTTAAATGATTAAAATTCACTCAGATATCATACGATTAAAATTAATGATATCGCAAATCGCGTTTTTATTGATTTATTTAAAAATAAAAAGGGTAAAAATAATAAAATATCTAATTAAATAATTTATTTATACAACTTATTACCATCAATAATAGATGTCGCTACTAAAACGTCAAATATGTTTTGACATTTCAAATAGAGTTCGTCCAAAATTATGGCAAAAAAACATCAATAATAACAAGGAAAGTTTAAAAATACGATATTTTTACGAATGAAGTGTTTTTGTAATCGATTAAGGATTATTTTGGATGCGGGGTAACCTAGAAATCAACCTAAAACTGTAAGTAACCTCAAAAATAGATCAACCCTAACCTTACTTTCCCCAAAATTCTAATTATTTTCTTAATTCTTATCAATTAATTTAAATCGAACGTTTATTAAACCGTGTATAAACCCCAAACCTTCTTAAAGATCATTGAAATGCTTGTTATCTCGGAAATATCACTTTGATATAATATGATTGAAATTAATGATATCCCAAGTCGAATTCTTATTGAATTATGTAAAAAATAGCGCCAAAATAAGAAAATCAATAATTAAATCATTTATAAATACAATTTATTAAAATAACTTAATACTACTAATGATAGATGTCGCTATTAAAACGTCAAAACTTTATAAACGATTAAAATTCACTCGGATATCATACGATTAAAATTAATGATATCCCAAATCGAGTTTTTATTGATTTATTTAAAAATAAAAGGGTTAAAAATAAATAAATAAAAATTAAATCATTTATTAATATTAATAAGTTGTAAAAGCAATAACAGATGTCGCTATTAAAACGTCAAAACGATATTTTTACATTTTAAATGATTAAAATTCACTCGGATATCATACGATTAAAATTAATGATATCCCAAATCGAGTTTTTATTGATTTATTTAAAAATAAAAGGGTTAAATATTAATAAATAAAAATTAAATCGTTTATTAATATTAATAAATTGTAAATGCAATAACAGATGTCGCTATTAAAACGTCAAAACGATGTTTTTGTATTTTAAATGATTAAAATTCACTCGGATATCATACGATTAAAATTAATGATATCCCAAATCGAGTTTTTATTGATTTATATCAAGCTTTAAGATAATAAAATATAATTTAATTAAATAACTTATTAATACAACTTATTACCATCAATAATAGATGTCGCTACTAAAACGTCAAATATATTTTGACATTTTAAATAGAGTTCGTCCAAAATTGTGTCAATATAAACTTTAACAACAATAAGGAAAGTTTAAAAATACCATATTTTTAAGAATGAAATGTCCTTGTGATGGATTAAGAATTATTTTGGATGCGGGATAACCAAGAAATCATCCAAGTGGTGCTAAAACTGTAAGTAACCTTAAAAATAGATCAACTCTAACATCACTTTCCCCACAATTTCAATTATTTTCTTAATTCTTATTAGTTTTGGCATATTTATTATATTAATTTACATTATTTTAAATCGAACGTTTATTAAACCGAGTACAAACCCCAACAATTCTTAATTACGATCCTTATCTCGTAAATATCGCTTAGAAGTGGGAGAAAAACTTCATATAAATCGAATTTTCATTGATTTATTTGAAAATAGCATCAAAATAAGAATAATTAATAATTTATAAATACAATTTATTAAAACAACTTAGTGCTAATAATGATAGATGTCGCTACTAAAACGTCAAAATGATGTTTTTTACATTTTAAATGATTATAATTTACTCGGATATCATTCGATTAATATTAATGATAACCCAAATCGATTTTTTATTGATTTATTTAAAAATAAAAGGGTTAAAAATAAATAAATAAAAATTAAATCATTTAATAATACAATTTAGTATCGTCAATAAATAATAGATGTCGCTACTAAACGTCAAACCGATGTTTTGACATTTTAGATGACGTGTTCTTTCAAAATTATGTCAATAAAAACACCAACAACAATACGGAAACTTTAAAAAACCCGATTTTTTCAAAAAATGGAGTATTTCCGTAGCGGATTAAGAACCGTTTTGGGTACAGGACAACCAGGAAGTCAACCAACCGGTGCCGAAACAGTACGTAACCTCAAAACAAATCAACCCTAACCTCACCTTTCAATTCTAATTATTTCCATTAATTTAGATCGAACGTTTAGTAAATCGAGTACAAACCTCAACGCTTCTGGAAGATCGTCGCGATGCTTGCAGAGCTTTACGCTCGTTATCTCGTAAATATCGCTTAGAAGTAGGAGCTCAAGGAATGGATGCTTTAAGACAAATTTTGGAGCTGGATAAAAACGATACTGAAATTATAAGTTATTGTTTGGATACTTTGTGTAATATAACCTCAAAAGACAGTTTTGATGAAGAAAACGAGTTTAATGGGCCAACTAATATTAATGTAGGGGAGCAATTCGCTGAGATGTTTATTAAAAACCCTGAAAATGTAACATTGGTTCTTGGATTTTTAGAGGAATACGATTTTAAAGTTAGATTACCTTCAGTGAAGTTATTAACGTGTTTATTAGCTGCCAAACCGAAAGAAATCCAAGATATAGTCTTGGTTAGTCCAATGGGGGTCTCAAAATTAATGGATTTATTATTAGAAAGTCGCGAAGTGATTCGAAACGACACTTTATTATTATTAATACAATTAACGAAAAATAACGCGAATATCCAAAAAATCGTCGCGTTTGAGAACGCTTTTGATAAACTTTTTGAGGTTATAAAACAAGAGGGTTATAGCGACGGCGGGATCGTCGTGGAAGATTGTTTATTATTAATGTTAAATTTATTAAAAAATAACACAAGTAATATTAATTTCTTTAAGGAAGGATCTTACATACAAAAATTAACCCCAATGTTTGATCTTCCCAAAAATATAGAGGAAATTGGGTGGAGCCCCCAAAAAGTCTCCAACTTTCATTGCGTCTTAGAATTAGTTCGAACGTTAGTCTCGCCTTCAAATCCAATTCAAATTGTGAGTTCGTGTCAAAAATCGATGCGAAATTCGAACCTTTTACAATCCCTTTGCGACATTTTAATGACCGCGGGAATCCCCGCCGATATTTTAACCGAAACCATCAACACTTTGGCGGAAATTATCCGCGGAAATTTAACGAATCAAGAGTATTTTTCGAACGTAACCGCCCCTTCGAACCCGCCAAGACCCGCGATTGTCGTTCTTTTAATGACGATGGTTACTGAGAAGCAATCTTTTAATCTCCGATGTTCCGTTTTGTATTGTTTCCAATCGTTTTTGTTTAAAAACGAAATTGGGCAACAACAAATCGTTCAAACTTTATTACCCAGCTCCTCAGGATCGACGACTTTAACAACGGGGCAATTATTATGCGGGGGGTTATTTAGTAACGACCCTTTAAGCAATTGGTTTAGCTCCGTGGCTTTATCACACACAATCATTGAAAACCCCGCCCAAAAAGAACAACTTTTACGAGTGCTTTTAGCAACAACGATCGGATCGCAACCTAATTCCCTTTTACATCAATGCACGTTATTTTTAACACAAACAAATAAGATCCAATCAAAATTAGGGATCTTAATGTTATTATCAATGTGGTTAGCGCATTGCCCGCAAGGAGTCCAACAATTCTTAAACGTCCCGGGTTCAATGGCCTTTTTAACCGCGCAAACCTCCGCGTCAGAATTCGACAACAACGAGGAATTAATCCAAGGATTATGCGCTTTTATTATGGGGTTATGCATCGTTTTTAACGACAACACAATCGCGAATTACAACAAAGAGAATTTATCGCAATTAATCGAAAAGCGAGTTGGGATCGAGGTGTTTTTGGGAAAATTGGGCGAAATTTCGCGACACGAAAGCTATTCGAAAGCTTCGAAGCGCCCCCAAGTTAAAGTAGACAACCCGAATGAATTATTATTAGAATACGAATTTTGTAAATTATTTAAAGCGTTAGAAGGGGTCGTCATAAACGCTTTAGGCGTACAAAGGGAATTATCAAACGGGAATTTAACCGAGTTAAGTTTAAGCGAACACGAAAACGCGCTTTTATTGCAATACAAAGATGTAATTAGAGACCAAGATAAGCGATTAAATGAAGCGAAAAAAGAAATTGAGTTACTCAAAAACGAAAAAGTTACTTTAACCATAAAAATTGATGAATTACAACAATCTTATTCGCAATTAAACGATAGTTACACCTTGTTAAAAGCTCAATTATCGACGGGGGCTACAAATACAACAAAAAATTTAATTATAACAAATCCCGATGATGAGATTTCGGAGAAATTAAAAGCTTTGGAGATTGAATGTGAAGAAAAGGATGAGAAAATTAATGCGTTAAAGAAAGATCAAGACGATTTATTCGAACTTTTAAGTGATCAAGAGGTGAAATTGAGTGCTTTTAAACGAAGACTGATCGAGCTTGGTGAGGTTATTATTGATCCGGATTCCGATAATGTTTCCGTGGCTTCGGAAACTTAATTAAAATGTAAATGGGGTGAAATTGTGTGAAAAGAAGCATTTATTTGTATATTGTATTTGTTTGTAAATAAGGATCAATGTAAAACATAATCGTTTGTTAGGTTTAAAAAGTGTAATAAGATAAATTAAATTTGAATTTGCATTTTAAATTCTTCCCTTTTAAATTTATTATTTCTTTATTTTATTATTTATTTAATTATTAATTTTTTTTTTTCAGGTTGGCCCCTATGAAAAAACTTCAACTAAGATCTTTGTAATGCTGGGTAAGTCATAATTATAAACAATATCATACAAAAGAAATATAATTCTTATTGTTTTATTTAAAAAAAGCAATAGGAAAACTAAATAAATATTAAAAATAATTTATTAATTTAACTTCTTACCACCAATGATAGATGTCGCTGTTCAAAAACGATTTTGTTACGTTTTGATTTGTTTCAAAATTGTTAATAAAAATACGAAAACTTTGAAAATGATATTTTCAAAAACGATATTTCTTTTTATAATGGATTAAGAATTATGTTGGTATAAATTAATAATTTATTAATTTAACTTGTTACCACCAACGATAGATGTCGCTATTAAGAAATGTCAAAACGATGCTTTGAATTTAGTGTTGTTTTAAAATTGTTAATAAAAACGCGAATAACAATACGAAAACTTTAAAAGTGAGTTTATTTGTAAAATGAAGTGTTTTTGTAATGGATTAAGTATCCTTTTGGATGCGGGATAACCAAGAAGTCGGCCAACGAGTGATGAAACTGTACGTAACCTCAAAAAACAAATCAACTCTAACCTCATTTTCCTCACAATTATTTTATTTTTTTTATAATTTAAGACAAATTTTAGAGTTGGATAAAAATGATACTGAAATTATAAGTTGTTGTTTAGATATGTTGTCCGATTTTAAAGTTAGATCACTTTGGGTGTAAATTGAAAATATCGTTTCAATTGGTGTGATGAATGTACAGGATGGTTCAAATTCGATGTCCGAATAGGCTAACTCGGAAACTATAAGAGTTAGAAAAAAAGTAGCTTACATGTCATGATCTCGTTTTTCGAAAAACTGCTAATGCCGAAAACCTCATAGCGCTATCGTCTTTTGCGTAGAAAAGAACTTCGTAGAAATGCAACTCTCTAAACAAAAACTTCGTACTCAAAATGGAACGCATGTGGCGTCATCTGTTGGGGATATTTTGGAATTATTCAGCTAAGAACCGAATCACTAGAATAGGATTGGGTTTATATATAAAAGCTCCAATCACAGAATAACTGTTTGGAAAGTGTTTGGAGCTACTATCTGGCTCCACTTAACATTCCAACTGGTTGGAAATTCCTCAGATGCAATTACACTTGTCAAATAATGCTCCACATTTGAATATTACTGCATCTTATGAATGTGAGATTGCATCTGACGAGCTTCCAACCAGTTATAACGAACGTTAGCTGAAACAAAGCTATAATGTAAATTATAATCTAATTGTTTAATCATACCATTATTATTTTCTTATACTCTTACCGAAAAATCACTTTAAAATGACATTTTCATCTATCATTCTGAACAAACTTCAACTTTTAAAAGGTGAAGTTAGCGGCAAATTTAAAAATATAACACGATTTGGAATCTATACTTTTTAAATTAAAAGAATGATACTGGTAATAATTGTTATTGCTGTCTACTATTAATAATAAAATTGCTGATTTAATTAAATTATTTCAGTATAGACGCTAATGCCACCTTACGGGGGGGATTTCGACATACAATCAATCCCAAGTTCTCCTATCTAAGATCCCTGGGGCTGGTCTTTTGTTTTTCCCCTAGAGGCCAAAATTGAAAATATCGTAAAACCAACAATAAGAAATAAACCTGTTAAACCCTATATTTTTGTAATCAGAAAACAATAACCAATTTAATAAGCGAATAATCAGTGGTTGTTTCCATTTAAAAAAAACGAAAATTGTGATAATATCTCAAAATCTAAAACCGACAACATTTTTTTGACTACGTCATCAAAATCTTTGTAAAAAAGTGTCCATATAATGTCTTAGATATAATACTCCACCTATAATAATAACCAAGATAATTACATTTGCGGATTTTACGATATTTTCAATTTTGGCCTCTAGCAGAAAAACAAAAGACGATAGCGCTATGAGGTTTTCGGCATTAGCAGTTTCGCGAAAAACGAGATCATGAGATGTCAGCTACTTTTCTTCTAACTCTTATAGTTTTCGAGTTAGCCTATTCGGACATCGAATTTGAACCACCCTGTACAGATTAATGGATTTATTGTTATAAAGTCCAAATGTTATTTAAAATGCTATTTTATTATTATTAATACAATTAACTAAAAATAATATACAATAACATACAAATAAATAAACTACAAATTTTGAGGTTATAAGATAAGAAAGTTAGATACATGGAAATATTTTAACTTAAACACATATTTGGAATGATTTTTTATGCAAAATTAATGTTCGATGTCATTGTTGTTAACAATGTTTCAGATTTAATCTCATTAGATATCATTCTTTCTGTCACAAATTTTTGTATACATTTCTCTTTACAATTTCTCCCAAATTATGGTATACAAAACTTTGAAAACTGCTTTATTGTATTATTCATGTGCTCAATTTTATGCTCCATACACTTTTGTAGTGTCAAGAATACGTTATCTAATTTTTCTTTAGTTAATGCGTCGAAGGCACTTTCAACACAATTTATTAATTCATGCATAGCTTTTGGCGATGTTTTGTGCTGCAAAGACTGAATAGCATTGAAGAAGCCAAGGTCCAAACCATTCAAATGAGGACTATTCGGTGGCTGCGGTTTGAATTTAATACAACAGCAATTCGTTTTCATAAGAATGCGGTTTTGCAATATCTTGTTGGACATAAATTGCGCTTTTGGGAATTTGGATCTAATGGTTAGTAAAATGTTATCGATAATCATCTTTTTGCATTTTCCTGTGTTAATAGACTCGATGTTTTTGGTCACCATTGCTCCTATTGCCCGATTCTTGCTGTTTCTTTTTGCAGGTTCTTTATAAACAAAAGGCCAGAGTCCTATTTTGCTGTTGAAATACTGTTTTCTGGCACTGTCATAGCGTGGTCTGGCCACTGCAGTCATAAACATAACTTTAGTTACGAACCGTTTGCTTTTACAGTGCCTTTCTGGTTCTGCTTCGTCCAGCGTGATGTAATATGACCTTTTAACGTGCGATAAGTAAAACCACTTTTCGTCTATATGTACGTAGTCGCCACAATACTTTTTCTGGAAGCCACATTGACACAAATATTTCCTTCGTCCTATTCCCAATGCGCGTAACAGTTAGTCGGGAAACATCAAACTTCCTTGTAGCTTGTAGAACTGTAAAATTCCGGTACGCTGTTCATACGTTAGTTGCTTCGTCTTTATGTCTTTGTTGTACATTTCGTGATAAATATCTCCCATAGTTTTGACACAACGGGTATCTTGTAATCGTCGGACAAATTGACATTTCTCAACTGACGCGTGCGTAACAAGTGAACTGTTTTTAAACAGCCGCCTAATACTTTATTAGAAACACCGCATGTAGATTATATTAAATGGATAGAAACTCGTTAATTCTCCAAACTTTCCTTAACCCATAAATTTTAGAGAAATGTATACCATAATTTGGGACAGAGGCAGTATTTTCTATTCTAATCATTCTTCTTTGAGGTATCTAAACCTACTTGAGTTATAGACTAAACCAGCTATTTGAGGTTTATAATCGGCTTATATCGATTCTAAATCAGTCGTTTAGTCACATTCCTTCCAATTTCTCGATCTTCTTCAAGGTTTTTTGCTGACAAATAAGACAGGAGGATGATCTGATCATCAGCATATACCTGTATCAAGTTGGCAACCCTACTGCTATCCTTAAAAAAATTTAATTACGTATACCATGTCCCGGTCGGGCATCCCATCATCTGTTACGCACGCAATATCCTGCTATCCATAAATAGAAAACATGTGCAACTGCGTCCGACCTGCCTTTTGGCATCTCTTGTCTGATTCCATCTATCTCCTCTTCCATGCCTCTCCCACCTCTTTTACTACTTCCTTCACATTTCTGCACACACACTTTCGGTCTTCCCTAGTCTTCTACCTCAAATTCACTGTCTTTCTCGTACTCTCAATTATTATTCTCCACACTTCTCCTTTAAATCCTGAGCAATTACTCTACCGCCGTCGTATTGTCGTTAAACAGTGTATGTATATTTGACCTCTAATTTAATCGAATGAATCACTGCCTGCGTGATTGGAGCTGTATCCACCAAGATTCTGTATTCACTCACCATATTCTCGCCGGCCATCGTCCTCTCTATTCTTTTTCTTCGTCCCATCCGTATACACTTCCACCACATGCTTATCTATCTACCTTATATATCTATCAACCTCATCTTTTCACCGCCATCTTATGATAACACCACTCATTCCCCATACATCCCTATTTTAATTTTTGACCTTTATCCAACTTACCCTCTGTGTCTATGTAAGCCAGCGGTTTCTCCACAACCACTCTATCAAATATCTATCTTCCCGATCGAAAAGATACCTATCTTTTCCACCCTTCATTCATCCTTATATTCCCTGCTTCTTTCCACCATCTTCACCACTTTATCTCTTATCCTTGGAGTCTTTCGACGATCCATATCATCCTCTGACCTGTCGTCCGGAAAATATGTCCAGAACAGGTCTTTCATTGTTTCTATCCTATTTTTGTATCTCTCTCCTTCCTCTCCTCCTATCATCAATACATTCTTTCTCTATACTGCACTCATTCTCCAAAGTTTCTTCCATCCTTCCTTTTTGACTCAATCTCTTCCCTTTTCGCCTTCACTATTTCGCGCCTCCATAAAGCGTTGCTTTAGATTGTCTGTGTCGCCACCTAATGTCCGTCGGTTCTGATACCTACTTTTCGCTCTTTGTAATTGCCCTCGCTTCTTCTGCACTCCTCATTCCACCAACTTGTCTGCCTTCTCAATCTACCACTCTTACTTTCCTCACCTAACCTTTTGACCTTTTCTGGAACCTTTCCTAGGTTCAAAACGGTGCAGAACTTCTGCTTGAAAAATGGTTATGTCCGAGCTGACGGGCAATTTAATGCGGCTATTTGGTCCACTAATGCCCATGCCTACTCCGGATCTAACTGTCCTGACAGGCATGATGATGACAACTATCTGCTCTCATAATTTTAACACAGGATAAATGTTTACCTGCAATATTAGTTTGCAAATTCTCTTGATAGCGCCACCATCTCGCCCCCTCAGCACTCTTCTATTTCATCACTAGGTTCAAAATTAAAAAGCAGACTGCGAAAAAAGGTTTCGTCTAGCTGTGAATAGTATGGTTGATGATATATGTAACTTTAAGGCTAGATGCGCATTAGGTTTAATGTTCTCTTAATATTAGGAAAGATTCTTCCTGCATATGGCCACATCATATGTTCAAATAGAGAAAAAGGTCATCGGCCACCAAAACGAATGGCATTGGTTAGCCATTTTCTTTGATTGTAGTAGTGATTAAAAACAGGCAACAAGAAAGTGTTGGAGAACTCATCTGTGATATCCTTTAGAACGTTTTCAATACTGCACGATGGGATGAGATCCTACTGGTCCTGGAACCAAATGGCTTAATGAGAGTTCTAAGAAGCTGCCTTGATGATATAACCACTGTCTGCTGGAGTTCTAGAACACACAGAGTCCAGGAATTTTTTAATTCCCCTGTGAACAGTATAGAAACGAAATTCAAGGTTTCACGCAAACCTCCGCGTCAGAATTCGATAACAACGAGGAATTAATCCAAGGATTATGCGCTTTTATTATGGGGTTATGCATCGTTTTTAACGACAACACAATCGCGAATTACAACAAAGAGAATTTATCGCAATTAATCGAAAAGCGAGTTGGGATCGAGGTGTTTTTGGGAAAATTGGGCGAAATTTCGCGGCACGAAAGCTATTCGAAAGCTTCGAAGCGCCCCCAAGTTAAAGTAGACAACCCGAATGAATTATTATTAGAATACGAATTTTGTAAATTATTTAAAGCGTTAGAAGGGGTCGTCATAAACGCTTTAGGCGTACAAAGGGAATTATCAAACGGGAATTTAACCGAGTTAAGTTTAAGCGAACACGAAAACGCGCTTTTATTGCAATACAAAGATGTAATTAGAGACCAAGATAAGCGATTAAATGAAGCGAAAAAAGAAATTGAGTTACTCAAAAACGAAAAAGTTACTTTAACCATAAAAATTGATGAATTACAACAATCTTATTCGCAATTAAACGATAGTTACACCTTGTTAAAAGCTCAATTATCGACGGGGGCTACAAATACAACAAAAAATTTAATTATAACAAATCCCGATGATGAGATTTCGGAGAAATTAAAAGCTTTGGAGATTGAATGTGAAGAAAAGGATGAGAAAATTAATGCGTTAAAGAAAGATCAAGACGATTTATTCGAACTTTTAAGTGATCAAGAGGTGAAATTGAGTGCTTTTAAACGAAGACTGATCGAGCTTGGTGAGGTTATTATTGATCCGGATTCCGATAATGTTTCCGTGGCTTCGGAAACTTAATTAAAATGTAAATGGGGTGAAATTGTGTGAAAAGAAGCATTTATTTGTATATTGTATTTGTTTGTAAATAAGGATCAATGTAAAACATAATCGTTTGTTAGGTTTAAAAAGTGTAATAAGATAAATTAAATTTGAATTTGCATTTTAAATTCTTCCCTTTTAAATTTATTATTTCTTTATTTTATTATTTATTTAATTATTAATTTTTTTTTTGCAGGTTGGCCCCCATGAAAAAACTTCAACTAAGATCTTTGTAATGCTGGGTAAGTCATAATTATAAACAATATCATACAAAAGAAATATAATTCTTATTGTTTTATTTAAAAAAAGCAATAGGAAAACTAAATAAATATTAAAAATAATTTAACTTAACTTCTTACCACCAATGATAGATGTCGCTGTTCAAAAACGATTTTGTTACGTTTTGATTTGTTTCAAAATTGTTAATAAAAATACGAAAACTTTGAAAATGATATTTTCAAAAACGATATTTCTTTTTATAATGGATTAAGAATTATGTTGGTATAAATTAATAATTTATTAATTTAACTTGTTACCACCAACGATAGATGTCGCTATTAAGAAATGTCAAAACGATGCTTTGAATTTAGTGTTGTTTTAAAATTGTTAATAAAAACGCGAATAACAATACGAAAACTTTAAAAGTGAGATTATTTGTAAAATGAAGTGTTTTTGTAATGGATTAAGAATCGTTTTGGATGCGAGATGATCTAGAAGTCGACCAATTGGTGCTGAAACTGTACGTAACCTCAAAAAACAAATCAACCCTAACCTCACTTTCCTCACAATTATTTTAATTATTTTCTTAATTCTTTTATTAATTAATTTATATTGAAGACAATTTAAGACAAATTTTAGAGTTCGATAAAAATGATAAGTTGTTGTTTGGATATCTTGTGAAATTTAACCTCAAAACGATGGTTTTGATTAAAAAAATGAATAAAACTAATGGATTTATTATTATAAAGTCCAGATGTTATTTAAAATGCTATTTTATTATTATTAATACAATTAGAAACAATACAAATAAATAAAACACAAATTTGAGGTTATTCTTCTTCTACTGGTCGGGTTTTGGAGTTCGAACTTCCATTCATACCATTCTCTCCAGTCACAGTCTATTTTAATTCTATTTCTTAGTATATTATGACATCTTCCTTTTTCAGTTCCATCGAACAGCCCCGTGATTTGACAATTTATGAATATACAGGTGTTCCATAACTATGTACTGAAATAAACATTTGTTATTTTAAATGGAATGATATACTTTTGATTGCGTATTCTGATTCTACACACAAAACTAAGTTGACTTTGATAAGACATGTTGATACCTAGTGCTTTTAATTAATAATTTAATTAATAATTTTGAGTTATTTTAATTAGAAGCTTTTTTAAGAATTAACACTGCCCTTCAATTCTGAATCTTGGCGACTGATCGAGCTAGAAAGTTAAAATTTGTAACAGTTGTTGCTTGAATATCCTTAAATAGAGCACCATTGGCTACATCGGTCTATCTTATACAGGGTGTTCAAAAATGTAACTACTGTTTTACCATATTCAATTGCAAAAAAGTCGAAAATTTCATATTTGATTAGCTTATCAGATAAAGAATTTAATTTTCTACAAATCTTCGGTACATGTCCCTATATCTATCTGTTGCAGTTGTTGAGATAGAATGAGTCAAAAGCATGCAAAGAATGGCAGATTTTATTTATTTTTTCTATTAGTAGGCCATGAAATATACGGATTTGACAGCTTTCAAGTGATACCGCTATAATTAACAAATTAAATGAATCTTTAAATGTCATATTTTTATTAATAGACTAGTTGTTTATTGGTTAATGCTTGATTATGAATTACACAAAAGCCGAATTTATGGCCATGGTTTTTATTTTGGGACAATGTCAACGAAATACTCGTCCTGCTCAAAGACTATATCGTGACAGATACCCAAATGTCCGACTTCCGAGCTAGCGATGTTTCCATAATGAACTGATATTGGAGATTGGAGCTATTGGAAGTGATGATATTGTATGTAGAATCAGAATATGCAATAAAGACTATATCATTCTATTTAAAATAACATGTTTATTTCACTACGTCGTTAGGGAACACACTGTATGTATAAAAAAATTTTCCGTTTATAGTGTGCTAAACTTCCTATAACTTTTGTTTAAGGAAGAACTGCGTATCTCGGCTCCTTATGTACGGCCATTTATGTACTTTGTTGCTTATGCGGTACATCCTGTATAAATACATACAGTAACAAATGTTTACCTATACAGGTCAATACTTTGAAATAGGTTATGATAAATTCAGTCAGTGAGAGGATGGTTCTTCTGCGAGCCAGAGGTCTGGTGACTCGTCTTTTTCAGGACCTTTAGAAGGACCCTCAGACGAGATTGGGAAAGGGATTGTAAATATACAGGGTGGTTCAGTTTTTAATCGGGAAACTGTACTAAGACGTAGTACTTGCAAAATAACACTATTTTTTTGTATAAACATAGGGTAGCAACTCTTTTGTTTTCAAGCTATGAGCTGTCAAAGTTGAGCAAAAAATTTACATTTTATCCTTTATTTTGAGTATAAGTAAACCGTAGAATTTGAAATTTTATATGTTACCTTAATACCTTAATCTTCCCTAGCGCCCTCTAAGAGAATGAAATTCACAACCCCTTTCATTTTTTTATAACAACTTTTTAACGTTATAGAATATTAACATAAAAAATATAAAGCTTATTCATTATTGGTAGTTTTGTGTCTTTAGTTTTTTCAATGTGTCTATATAAAAATTAATATTTTTCTTATTTAATACACTCACTCACTTCAGTCTTTAGCATAAAACAGGTGCTTTCTTCCTCTTCATTACTGCTTTGATGATCTTCCTTTTCTGCCTGATGACTGCGTCTATTTCCAACATGTTGTGGAAACTTGCCTTTTCCTTGATATCTATGATTATCATAATGGTATCCCCTGGTTACTCTTCCATAGTTTCCTCATGCTCCTTTTCTCTCAAATCCTCTTCTAAAGTTTCCATTATTATATCTTCCTCTGCTGCCTCTGAAGTAACCACGACTTTGACCTTGAAGTCCACTTTGATCGCTTGTATGGCAATCTCGTTGAAAATGTCTTAGTTTGTTACAAAGATAACATACACCTTGTACATTGTCGTACAATATCTTCAAATTCACTTAAAAATACATCCAAATCTTCACCTTCTCCCAACTTCATACTTATCAACTTCCTTCTTAACATTAATTGTCCTCTCATTCCTTTCTTTTCATATCTTTCTTCTAAACTTTCTTTAAACTTTTTTTCTCTTATCAAATCAATTTGTGAATCACCCAAACATTGCACTATTAGGGCATCTTCCTTTTTCAGTTCCATCGAACAGCCCCGTGATTTGACAATTTATGAATATACAGGTGTTCCATAACTATGTACTGAAATAAACATTTGTTATTTTAAATGGAATGATATACTTTTGATTGCGTATTCTGATTCTACAAACAAAACTAAGTTGACTTTGATAAGACATGTTGATACCTAGTGCTTTTAATTTTTGAGTTATTTTATATATATATTTGTTTATTTGTTTATTTTACATATTTGATTAGCTTATCAGATAGAGAATTTAATTTTCTACAAATCTTCAGTACATGTCCCTATACCTATCTGTTGCAGTTGTTGAGATAGAATAAATCAAAAGCATGCAAAGAATGGGAGATTTTATTTATTTTTTCTATTGGTAGGCCATGAAATATACGGATTTGACAGCTTTCAAGTGATACCGCTATAATTGACAAATTAAATGAATCTTTAAATGTCATATTTTTATTAATAGACTAGTTGTTTATTGGTTAATGCTTGATTATGAATTACACAAAAGCCGAATTTATGGCCATGGTTTTTATTTTGGGACAATGTCAACGAAATACTCGTCCTGCTCAAAGACTATATCGTGACAGATACCCAAATGTCCGACTTCCGAGCTAGCGATGTTTCCATAATGAACTGATATTGGAGATTGGAGCTATTGGAAGTGATGATATTGTATGTAGAATCAGAATATGCAATAAAGACTATATCATTCTATTTAAAATAACATGTTTATTTCACTACGTCGTTAGGGAACACACTGTATGTATAAAAAAATTTTCCGTTTATAGTGTGCTAAACTTCCTATAACTTTTGTTTAAGGAAGAACTGCGTATCTCGGCTCCTTATGTACGGCCATTTATGTACTTTGTTGCTTATGCGGTACATCCTGTATAAATACATACAGTAACAAATGTTTACCTATACAGGTCAATACTTTGAAATAGGTTATGATAAATTCAGTCAGTGAGAGGATGGTTCTTCTGCGAGCCAGAGGTCTGGTGACTCGTCTTTTTCAGGACCTTTAGAAGGACCCTCAGACGAGATTGGGAAAGGGATTGTAAATATACAGGGTGGTTCAGTTTTTAATCGGGAAACTGTACTAAGACGTAGTACTTGCAAAATAACACTATTTTTTTGTATAAACATAGGGTAGCAACTCTTTTGTTTTCAAGCTATGAGCTGTCAAAGTTGAGCAAAAAATTTACATTTTATCCTTTATTTTGAGTATAAGTAAACCGTAGAATTTGAAATTTTATATGTTACCTTAATACCTTAATCTTCCCTAGCGCCCTCTAAGAGAATGAAATTCACAACCCCTTTCATTTTTTTATAACAACTTTTTAACGTTATAGAATATTAACATAAAAAATATAAAGCTTATTCATTATTGGTAGTTTTGTGTCTTTAGTTTTTTCAATGTGTCTATATAAAAATTAATATTTTTCTTATTTAATACACTCACTCACTTCAGTCTTTAGCATAAAACAGGTGCTTTCTTCCTCTTCATTACTGCTTTGATGATCTTCCTTTTCTGCCTGATGACTGCGTCTATTTCCAACATGTTGTGGAAACTTGTCTTTTCCTTGATATCTATGATTATCATAATGGTATCCCCTGGTTACTCTTCCATAGTTTCCCCATGCTCCTTTTCTCTCAAATCCTCTTCTAAAGTTTCCATTATTATATCTTCCTCTGCTGCCTCTGAAGTAACCACGACTTTGACCTTGAAGTCCA